CAGGTTATGCCTCATGTGAGTTGTAGTTTGTAAGTCCCTTTTGCTTTTCATTAAACTTAGGTTCGAGACACTACCTATCGGTAGTCATCACCTTAGTTTTAGGATCCGAGGCATTGGTTGATTTCAAATCACCCTATAAGCCCTCACCTTCTTGGCAATTCCTTCAACAATTATTTTTGGAATGTAAGCCCCAACATTCTAATAAAAATATCAACTTAGACAAAAATTAGACTTTTAAAATGTAAAGCCCAATATAGGATAGTCCGAGCACCTATGAGATTTCTCAGAATCAAGTGCTCATACTTCACCTCCTTTGACTCTCATTCTAAAATCTGATTCTAAGTTGATATTTTCCTCCATTGAAATTCCTAAAGGCCAAAACCTTTAAGCAAGACTTTCATGGATTCTAAAATAAAATCAAATTTCAGCCAATATTTGAATGACTTTCAAAATGAAGAAAACAACTAGTTTAATACTTTAATCAAAAGTCTTCCCAAGACAAAGCTTGGGATGTAATTAACCATAGGGCTTGCCTTTATGGGACGTACGTACCCCAGAAATAAATAAACTCCATTCGACCAAAATATCGAATGGGGGAATCTCTGTTAAATTGTAAATTTTATCATTGTGTCCATAAGGAAATGATATTTTTACCCTTCGAGGTAATATATCATCATTCTTACGCTGTGCTAAATCATAAAGTATGCAATCCGTTCGATGATACAAAAAAATTCTTTAATAGTTCTATTATGCAGTCCTTGAATTTCCTTCAGTTTCTGATAGGTCTCCTCTAGTCTATCCACTGGTACCATGACAGAGCCTTCCCTTCCAAGCACAAGCCTGCCATTGTCAGCTTCTCCTCCTCCGTCAGCCCATTGATGGCGAAGTACCTCTCCACCTTATAAATCCACCCATAAGCATCCTCCCCTTCAAATATGGGCATCTTCAACTTCCTCACCTTCTGATCTCCACCATTCCCTCTTATTCTTCCACAGCTTCCCCTCTCTCAAGTGCTCGGCCCTCCCCACATCTCCCGGTCTTCCCTTGCCCTGCCATAGCCCAAAGCCCTTCGAATTCCCCCATTCTTTCTTCAAAATCAGCACCTCGCTGGCCATAGTATCCCTCATGGTGTTCCTCATATCTACCTCCTCTCTCTTCTCTCTAAACAGGCTCCAAATGGGGTTTTCTTCTTTCTCCTTTCATGATTTCCACCTCATCTTCCTCCCTCCGGATTTCAGAATTCGTGTTTTTCCCTTCCATCCCTTTTTCCAAGGAAGCTGCCGTTTGGTTGTGGATTTCCAACATTTTCTTCATCATGTCCCGAAGATCGGCTACTTGTCATTCCATGGAGGAAATCCTTTCCTCCACCGTCGCCTTGATTTGATTCATCTCGCCTTCAAGCCTTTCTTCAAGTGAATCTACTTTCTTGGCTGTCATCTCGATCCAGATTTTTGTAGATCAAAAAATTCTAGATTTGGATTACAAAAACAACAACTTTCTCCTTTCCTGGCCAAAAATCAGCCGCAGGAATTTCGCCCAAATCAGCCCACGAACAATCCCAAGACTTGCTTTGATACCAATTTGATAGAAAATGCTTGAGTTCGCAAGTAACCCTAAGGGTAATACTTGAGTTCGCAAGCAAACCTATCACCAATTGATGAAAAACAATGGGAATAATGCAAAATTTGGATGAAAACAGCCCAAAACAATATATTGCGGTAGGAAAATCAAAGCCAAACAATAAGAAAAACAAGATATAAGAGATCCTTTATTTGAGAGGAGGATTGTCTCTCCCAAATCTCTAGACAAGAGAGTCTAGAGCCCAAGTCGCCAAGACACCCTAATTGAGAACAAATCAAAACCTCCTCATTCCCTAAACATCTCTTGCTGTTAATACGAACACTTTCCTAATCTAATCTCCCTCCCAAGTATTGAAAAAGGGAATTAAACTTTCACCATGATTGATTACACACACACACACACACACACACACACACACATATATATATATATAGATCTTTAGGTCGTGGGCTGGTATTTTTGGGTCATGATAATTGCGACCTAAGAGTGGGTTGAGTCTAGAGGATTAAGCTCTTAATCTCTTGAAATGCTCATTCCTTGTAGCTATATTGGAGTATTGGCGACGATTTGCTGATTTCAGTGATGGTGAGTAGCTTTAGGAGGCTGATCCCTACTGTGGAGAAGAATCCTTAAGATTCTGTGTGGATCTATACAAGTTTTATGTAGCTCTTGCCGAGGACAACTCTTTGACTTGACTTACCTAAGCAAGTCACGTTTCTCAGCTGGCGAGTGCTTGTTGAGGGCGAGATGACTGCTTTGGCTGAGCTCCTATTGCTAAAACCTATTAGGTATGAGTTCTTCTATTCAAACCTATTAGATACTTGTGAAAGATCTATATGGACATTTATGAGTATATACCTATGATATGTTCTTTATTTATATAGTGCTAATTTTTTAGCAACTAAATCAATAAAGTGACTTTCTTTGGTCCAAATTCAAATGTAGATTTGGAAGTACCTTTACCTATATTAATTGATGCATGACTCAAATCACAGGTGACCATAGTGCTAGGCGGTGAAGACTCTGCTATATACTTAGCAGTGCCTTGATATAGTTATGTGAATGTGAACACTTCATGGCATGATCCATGCAAGTTAGAGAAACTTGATCACGGCAGATATTTTTTATTATTTTGCCATCTTGTAGTAGTATATTGCTTTCAAGGTATCATGATTATGTGAAGCTAATGATTGGTGTATTCATTATAATTTCAATTAATTTTGCTCTATATTTTATTTCTCTTAAATACGACACCCATAAAAGTTTGACTGTTGGGCATGATGTTCCTTTATTTATTTAAGTAAAAAATCTTTAGGTATCATGGTGTATTTGTTTCATATTCGTGTTTAATTTTCTGTTGTTTGTTCAGTTATGTTCATCCTGAAATAATTGATGTTTATCACTGCTTATTTCATGTTATATTGGTTGTTGTTACAAATCCTCCATTTCTCTCTGTCAAAATCATGATTAAATAGAATAAGAGGATTTCGGGCTCCAAAACTTCACACCTAGTTCTTCTTAGAGAGTTTGTTTCATGTTAAAATTTTATAAAGCATATTAGGTTGTAGATAAGATGTTATTCAAATACTTTGCCATCATTTTGCGATGATTTTATGATCTTATTCCAAGTTTTCTATAGGCGCAAGCCCTTATGATTTATTATGCCTCTTGTGACGAGAGAGAACTTCTAATTAAGATTAGTCGTTTGGTGCTAAGTGCATAGCATATAGCAACTGTAAATTTGATTTAAGATTTATATATTTGCTACCATAAGCTTATTAGAGTGGATGGTGATGGGAATGATGTCAATCTCAATCAAGATATCCTAGTTTTGTCATACTAAATTATCATGGACTCTAATTTATTTAGTGAGTAGAGGTAGTCGAACCAATTTGACTGATGGATCCTTGTATGTAGTCATAGTTTGCGTCGTCCAAGAACACAAATAACTTGCGTAAACCTGCATTAAATGTACATTTCAGCAAGTGGGGATGTGAGGAGTTCATGGTGAGGTAGAGATTGCAAGACTAAGGGTTGGGATAACAATGTTTAACTGTTGAGGTTGTCAATCAGTGTGGATAGAACGAAGCAATTAGGAGGTTTTTTAGAACACAAAAGAATGAGAGTGGGAAAGCGTATGTGATTTGTTGTTTGATTGAGGGTATGGAGCTGGGTGTGGGAAGGTGTCACGACCCGGTATGGAGGCTCAAATTAATGAGGCAAGTGCAAACGGTCAGATGGTAAATTAGATTTTTAATTACTAAATCTATCTCCATTACACTGAAATAGCCATTAAACTTCAAAAATATAAATTGATATAAAATGATTTTAATATCTTTTTTTAGGTGCGCCACATTTACGGTACACATTTTCATCTCTTTTATTTATTTTGATTATAATAATTATACATGAAAATGTTATAACAATTAAGAGTAAGCCACAGCTCAGTGAGTAAAACATACTTCTAAACTATAGTAACTCAAGGCTATTTGAACAATATGCATGATTCCTTTTCATTTCATATCATAAAATAATTTTATTTCAAGGCTTTCAATGTTATGCATAAATCATATATGTTGTTTAAATCATACATATCATATGTATCATATATGTATTCATATATTTCTCATTTCTAATTAATAATATAATCGTGACAGGAGCCACCGTCTAATTTAATATCAATAAAGGTACTCCTTTTTCATTTTCATTTCCAATTCTATTTCCATTAACGTGCACGGGTATATTGCGTCCCCCAACCAGTACCATCGAGGGGTGAGCTCTATCAATTCAACATGCACATGCAATTATATATATCTAATCATTTCATTACTTTATACTTTATGAATAATGTAAGATAAATTATTCAATATATGAGAGAGATTATTTACAATGCAGTTAGAATAAACAGTTAGATAAATCATTTACAATAACAATTAAAATGCAATTAGAAGCAATACAATTACCATAATATAGATTATCTTCAATTCTCTGGATGTGTTGGTCGAGTCCAATTTGTGAGGCGGAAACATTTACTTAATTTTGTGTGAAATTGTATCCAACGACTACTATTGTCATCAATTTTGATTGGGTTTTGTTCAGTGTTCTTTTGGTACACTTTGTGTAGGTCAACAAGGATGAGTTTGGTGCTTCTTGTTGAAGCTTATCGATCATATAGCATTTATTATTCTTGGGTTCATTGAGTTGCACCTGTATAATTGCTTCTCTTATTAAGTTTGTATATTAATTTTAGGCTTTGTTTGGGACGGCTTTCTTACTGCTTATTAAAGTGGCTTTCTTGTACAAAAAATCTAATTTTTTTACTAAAAAGCCGCTTTAAGAAGCAGGAAGAAAGTCAATCCTAAACGAAGCCGTAGTCTCAAATTACATGGTGAAATGATAGTTTTTTCGTGGCAAAATAGGTTAAAACAGCAGAAACTGGATATATGTCTCGTAGATTGGTAAAGGGCATGGAAGATATTTCACTTCATTATGATCTTACTGTTCGGGATGCTAGTGGGGCTATAGCTCAATTCCTATATGGAGATGATGGCTTGGATCCTGCAAAGATGGAGGGAAAAGAAGGGAGCCCATTAAATTTTGATCAGTTGTACATGAAAGTCATGGTTTGTATATTATGTTATAATTTTCACACTTAGTTTTTACGAGTTATGTTCAGGTGACGGGATATGTTTCTTTTGGCAGGCTACATGCCCGCATAGAGAGAATGATAGTTTGTCGCCAGCAGAGATATTACAAACTTTGGATAAAAGGTTTTCACGGTGTGAAATGGCTCCAGAGGGCGGTTGCTCTTCCGAGTTTAAGCAAAAGTTGTCAGATTTTATACAGAAGCGTATTGTTACGCTTCAACAAACGAGGCAGGCACTTCAGCTTGATGAAAATCCTGCAATAAATAAAGGTTGCTGTAAAAGAGAAACTATTTCAACTCGCATATCTGGAATTTCTGCCAAACAGTTAGAGGTTAGCTGGATACTCTCTAAATGATCATTTTGGAATTGATCCTATATAAACTATAGAACAATGCAATGCATATGCCAATATACCTAAATAAGTTGTTCTTCCTAGCCGCAAAAAAACGAGTAATACTTTGTTTAGCAACTCAGTACTTTATTAGGAATAGGATCTACAAAAAAAATGATAATACTCGCATATCTGGAAGAAAAGAGAAACTATTTTTCAAAAGAAATATTACAACTAATTTTGATATCATATTTCTGTTAATTCCAAGGTTTATTTCAATTTTATATTTATGATGCATTAACATCATAAAAAACTTGATAAATTAGTTTTTTTAAGAGTAGGGAAGTAAAAAGTTGACCTAAGTTCACATAGATTGAAGTTGTTCAAAATGACCTGCAAAAAATATGTTTAATACATCAAATAACATTCAATAAGAATTTATGAAAATGATTATTTATTAGGTTGACCTCAAATAGTTTGGGTAAGGCTAATGATGATGAAGCAGGCTAATGATGATGAAGCAATAAGATTTTTGATAGATGACAATAACTAGGGAAAAAATTGTATAATTTGAGCGAGTTAGAGGTTTATAAACTCAAAATATTTTAGTACATTTCATGTTTAGTCTATAAAGTATCAACCAAGTATCATGTTCAGGGGTGGATTCATGTTTTTTTTTTTTCATGTGGGGCACAAATTATTAAAATAAAAATATCTTAACATTTTTTCATCCGGGCTTGGGACCGACATAAGTTGTTTTAATTTTTTTTTTTTCAATCGTCAGACTCAATATAAAAAGATAGAATATATGATGAAGGAAAAAATTTACAATTGAGAGCGCTAAATCTTGATATTATTCTTATATATTATCTATTATTTCTCTCGCCAAGTCTTCATTTTTTGAAATCGTTGTACAATCATTTTATTATTAATACTATTGAATATCTTTTTCAATATAAGTAGACAATTATTCATCTAGTAGTCTTCCATATGATTACGTAAACGATTCCTTATAATGCTCATTGCAAAGAACGCTTGTTCGACTGTTTTTGTAACAATTAGCAATATCAGAGCAAGCTTTATAAGTATGAATACCAAATGATAAACATTATTCTTCCTAGTCTCTACTATTTTCTGAGCAAGTTATCCAAATCCTTGCAAATTCATAAATGCATCAGTTGATTTCACATCAATAATAAAATTTTCAATTTGATTGTCTAATATGGTAATATTCATTTATGAAAAATCTGATGGATAAAATTTTGTTAGACGTAGCAATCGATCTTTATCAAAAGCTGAAAATGAATTATATGGATTCAAACATGCCACACACATAAGTAATTATGTATTAATTTGATAGGAAATACTTGATTTCAAGTAGTTCCTAACCAAAGTTTGAAGCAATTCGTGATAACTCCTGCTGTTTACAGCAGGAAAACAGTAAAATCTGGACCAAAACAGAGAAAACCGGAGAGAAAAATGGAGAAAAACTCGCCCAAACAATTATACTTTACTAGTAGATGAAAGAAATTTGCAAAGATACAAAGATCCTCTATTCGAGAGGAGGATCGCACTCTCCCAATCTCTAGAATTTGTTCTAGAGCCCAAGCCTCCAAGAAAACCCCTTTTGCAATCAAACAAAACATAATCCCCCCCCCCCCCTAAAGGCCTAAACTCCCTCCTCTCACTTAATACAAAATATTTCCTAATTGATTTTCCCTCCCATTGCTTAGCCGCCCAACCCAATTTGAAAATTGCATTAAGTGGGGCCCTCATGTGGGCAGGCCAGAAGATGGGAGGCGGACTGTCCGCCTTCTGTAAACCTGAACTGGCCTTTTGGCCGGTTCTGTCAGTTCCTTGTGAACCGGCTGCACATCAATACCGCGCTCCCAAAGAACTACCTTGTCCTCAAGGTGAAAATCAGGAAATTGATGTTTCACCCTCTCGTATGGCTCCCACGTGGCCTCGTAGTCTGGAAGGTTCTTCCACTGGACCAACACTTCATTAGTTTCTTCTTCTTTCTGGCGAGCCCCTATCAGTTCTAGCGGTTCCAAAACCACCTCTAAATCCTCTGTCAGAGTCGCTGGTAGCTCGGGTTTGGCTGTATAGTCTCCAATGACCTTCCTCAACTGTGATACATGAAAGACTGGATGTATGGTCGCCGTTGGTGGTAGCTTCAGTCGATATGCTACTGCTCCGATCTTCTCCATCACTTCATAAGGCCCAAAGTACCGAGGAGCCACCTTCTCATTTCTCCTGTTGGCGACTGTTTTCTGTCTATATGGTCGGAGCTTCAAATACACCTTCTCCCCCACTTCAAATTGGATGTCCCTCCTATGCCCGTCCGCTTGCCGCTTCATAATCTGTTGAGCCCTCAGTAAATGTCTCTTCAATTCTTCTAGCACTTTATCCCTCTCCTCCAAATACTCCTGCTGAAGACACGGGAGTACTACTACTCCCAAAATGCACCAAGTGAGGAGGGCCCCTTCCGTACAACACCTTGAATAGGATCATATGTGCAGCCGAGTGGAAAGAGGTATTGTACCAATATTCCGCCCATGACAGCCACTTAGCCCACTGTTTGGGCGTATCCGACACGAAGCATCTCAAGTATGTTTCCAAGCTCCTATTGACCACCTCAGTCTGGCCATCCGTCTGCGGGTGGTAGGCGGTGCTCCTTTTCAGAACTATTTCCTACAACTTGAACAACTCTTTCCAGAAATGGCTAAGGAACACCTTATCTCTGTCTGACACGATTGCCTCTGGTACCCCGTGCAATCTGACCACCTCCCTAATGTAATCTGAGGCTACTGTCACCGCGGTGTACGGATGTCGGAGAGGAATGAAATGAGCGTACTTGCTCAATCTATCTACCACCACCAAGATCATTGTGAATCCTTCTGAACGAGGCAGTCCATCTATGAAGTCCATAGATATCTCCTCCCATACCTGTCCTGGTAATGCCAACGGCTGTAGTAGTCCTCCTGGCGACATTGCCAGATATTTGTTCCTCTGACAAACTTCGCACCTTGCCATCATCTCCTCTACATCTCTATGCATCCCCTTCCAGTAAAGCTCGGCCGCCAGTCTCCTGTAAGTCTTCTGCACTCCTGAATGGCCCCCGACTGCGCTCCCATTAAATTCTTGGAGTAAATTTGGGATGTGGATCGATGTTCGGGGCATCACAAATCTCCTCTGAAACAACAGTCTGTCTCCCTCCAATGAGTACCCTGGGTGACTACCATCCTCTTTCAGTAAATCTGACCTGATCTTTCCCAAATCTTTATCTCTAGAACTCTCTTCTCTGATGGACTCCCAATCGAGCATCAAAGGCACGGATAATACCACTGCTTGCAGCTCTCCCATACATCTGGACAAGGCATCTGCCGCCTTGTTCTCCACTCCTGGCCTATACTGGATCTCAAAATTGTACCCTAACAACTTGGACAGCCACCTTTGATGCTCCTCTATCACCATCCGCTGCTCCAGTAGGTATTTCAGGCTCCGTTGATCTGTCTTGACAATGAAATGTCTCTCAAGCAGGTAGGGCCGCCACTTCTGGATGGCCAACACGATGGCCATTAATTCCCTCTCATAAACTGATTTCAGTCTGGCTCTAGCAGTCAATACCTGGCTGAAATAGGCAATAGGCCTCCGACTCTGCATCAACACTGCACCAAGACCGTACCCGGATGCATCGGTCTCCACAATAAAAGTCTGAGTGAAATCTGGCAACGCTAAGACCGGCACCGTCATCATCGCCTTCTTCAAGCTCTCAAATGTTGATGTGGCTGCCTCCCCCCATAGGAATCCGTCCTTCTTCAACTGCTTAGTAAGCGGCCATGCTATGGAGCTATACCCCTTTACAAACCTTCTGTAGTAACCTATCAGTCCTAGGAATCCCCTCAGCTCCTTTAGATTTTTCGGTACTGGCCATCTTAGCATTGCTTCAATTTTGGACTGATCAGCTGCCACCCTGTCTTTTGAAACCACATGGCCCAAGTACTCTACATTGGTTTGTGCAAAGCAACATTTCTTTAAATTGGCCATCAACTGGTGATCCTGCAGTACCTTTAACACCTTTTTTTAAGTGCTCCCAGTGCTCCTCTGTCCTGCTGTAAATCAGGATATCGTCAAAAAACACTAACACAAACCGTCTGAGATAAGGTTTGAAAACCCTATTCATCAGAGCCTGGAAAGTCGCTGGGGCGTTGGTGAGACCAAAATGCATCACCAAAAACTCATTAAGTTCTGAATGCTGTCTTGGGTACATCCTCCTCCTTCATTCGGATCTGGTGGTAGCCTGATTTCAAGTCTATCTTGCTAAAAATCACAGTCCCACTCAATTCATCTAGGAGCTCGTCGATGACGGGTATTGGAAACTTGCCCGGGACAGTCTCCTTGTTGAGTGCTCTATAGTCCACACAAAACCGCCAGCTGCCATCCTTCTTCTTGACCAACAGAATGGGACTAGAGAAAGGACTGATACTCGGTCTGATGATTTCTGCCTCTAACATTTCTCTAATCAACTGTTCAATCTCATCCTTCTGAAACTGAGGGTAGCGATATGGTCGTACGCTGATGGGTGATTCCCCCTCCCTCAAAACGATGGCATGCTCCCTCTCCCGCTGCGGTGGTAACCCTTGAGGTAGCTGAAAAACCTCTTGGAACTGCTGAATCAATGGCTGAATGGAGAGTGAGATGTCCCCTCCTTCCTCTAATCTCGCCCCCTCCAAACTGTGCAGCTCCACCAAATACCCTCCGCCTGCCGACTGAATGTCCCTCACCATGGTTTTAAGAGAAACTAAGGATTTGGAAAGTCCCGGATCTCCCTTGATTACCACTATTTTTCCCTCGGCCGTTAGCTCCATCGTGAGTGCTCCCCAATTCACCTTGGTGTCCCCCAAAGTCTGCAGCCATTTCATGCCCAAGATGACATCGGTACTCCCAAGCTCCAGTGGAAGGAAATCTTCCTTCACCTGTATCCCCTGGATCGTCAG